GAATGCTATCTGGTGCAATTACAAAATAAGAATTCCAGTTCATTTATTTGGCCTCGGTTTATTGATCCAGGAGGCCAAGGTGCATGGGCGGGGGATGGGTGCAGTGGGAGGAATTTCGAGCCAAGGGTCCTTGGGCAACCCTTTGTATTTTGATGTATGGACAGATCATGCTGCACAGGAGCTAGGAGGTCACCCGATTGTTTTGATGCATAATGTAGGGCATGCAGTTTATGCATTTCTGTCGATTGCATCCAGCTCTACATCAGTCTGCTTCTAATCCAGTATTCTACTGGAAAGAAATAACAATATGTGTCCTCTTTGTGTGAAGGAGTGTTTCAAAAATGTCTCTGGGTTGCTATTCAGTAGAAGTCTCACTCTCTGTGTTTCAGAAAATGGATGCAGCAGGAGCTGTGTGTTGTTAATCCATGTTATCTCTGGCCATATGAGGAGCTGGTCTAATAACAGAAGGTGTTAAACCTGCTTGTGGCTTTTTCCTCTAAATCACAACCTCAGAAGATTTGTATCTGAGACGGATTCCCACTTCTCCTCGGCTCAGGTCTTTATACTGATATAATGAGACCAGGATTACTCACAAGCAATACTCCCAGAGCTGTTTAACTGCCGGTACTGACTAAAACAATTTCAGCATTACAGCAAAATTGTATTCGTCGATCAAGGTTTCTGTTACAGTAGTTTGACAGTAGAATTCAGAGCCATGCAGGATTACAAAAATTAAAATCAGCATCAAATGACCCACAACTTCCCATATCATCAACATGGGCAAGAAATTATGTGATGCGGGCTCAGGTGCTCCCAGGATAGGTGTTTGTGAGCCGGATCTTTTAATATGTGTGGGGAACGGCCGTATATGTGCAAACATGCATATTCACACATCATTCTTCAGCTGTGGAGGGACATTTTAGCTCTTAAGCGGCACAAGATATTCTATTACCATTGCACAACTTATAAAAAAATGTTTTTGGTGCCCTGGCTTTTTGGTGATAACTTGCGAAAGTTGAAAGTGCAATATCAGTAGTTGTTGAAAAGATTATTGCTGGATTTATTTTGGCACCACTTAACCTGTTGTGAAATGATTTTGTAACTATGCACTATTTCCTCTAAAATCTAATCTGAAATTAGACAAATTGTCTCATGAATGTGATTTGAATTTAGCTCATGAATGAGATTTTGAAGGGCTTTAATTTTGAAATGCTACATCAGAATGTCCTGGTTCTCTCTGAGTGACACTTTGAGGTGGTCTGCTATTAACCAGTGATCCTAAATAGACCAAACTAGGAACATCAGTCATACCGTTTGTCATCCATCCGCATTAGAGCCAGATTTGTGCTGAGTGTATTGTCAGGGGTATTTTAGAGATATACCCTAAATCTGTCCCCCACACAACAAGTTCCCAAAAATGAATTAATCCAGTAAGATGGCATAATAGTCTTGACTTGATCTGGAAGGCTTTGAATAATACCATCAGACAAAACTTGCATATTGTCTGCTCCACATATGTCATATTTCCAGGATTACTGGAGAGAGATCAGCAGAGCTATAAAAGGAGATAATGAAAGCTGGTGAGCTGTTGGGAGAAGATGTCCATGTTTTTTTGTCAGCGTTCTCTTTGAAAAAGGCGGATAAAAAGCCTTTGTGTTGACAGAAAAGGGAGGAATTGGGGTCAAAGACAGTTGATGAGGGAGAAGGGGGTGAATAAGGGATTTCCTGCAGTACTTCAGCTTCAGCAGCTTCGACAGATATAAACAAGGAAGACATTCACGTGAGACCTAGGTGGAAAAGCCGGAGCAGGCCTACATAAAAGAGGACAGAGAAGGGCAGAGTAAAATGTGGAGGTGGAGGAAGCAGTGGAAAGAGTGAGGAATGAGTCAGGTGGAGGAGGAGAGGACCAGATGGAGACAGAGAGAGAGAGGAAGGGCAGAGAGACTGTGCCAAGCAGGGCTATCACGCAAGGAGACCAAGTCACTTGTGGAGAGCAGAATGGAGACTGACACAAATTGATGGGCCGAGACATTAGGAGGCTAGAAGTGGAGCAGGCTCCAGAGAGGAATAAGCCAACTCCAATTTCATCTTTATGAATGAATGAAGAGGCAGAGAGGGGAAATATAAGGAACAGGGGAGAGGAATAATGAAATGATTTTTCGCTTATTGCTGTCTTATCAGGGGATAGTAATGAATCATTTGTGGAGAGTAGGTCACAGAGCGGATGAAAATTTGATGAGGAGGCAGAGGTGAATGCCTGTGGATGGATTGTCGATGCCAATCAATCTGCTAACACAGACTCATCCTTACAGAGAAAATATATTTATTTTTCTTGGATTTATTTAAGGTCAAGATCAGAAAAAAAGGATTTACATTGAACGCCTTACACCAGTCAGTAACATTCAGGAAGCCAGTCACTTCCTGGTTTGAGTAGCAACCTGGATGTTTTTTTGCAGATCTAACGGATAGGTATATATTAAGTGGTATAGCTCATAACTATTCCTTTGGTTTTACTGATGTTTTAGTGTTTCATGCTTTGAGAAAAGCAAAAGTGTTATGGGGTGTAAATTCACTGCATACCCACACATAAATACATTTAAAATGTCACTTTAGTGGAGAGCAGGAAGGAACATTTAAGAAAACAAAAATGGTTAAACAATGGTTATCTTACAGCTTATGACTGGGTCAAATATACCTCCGAATCCACTGTTGTGGAAATGATTTGGGCTGAAGCCAGCATATGGCTCCTATGTTTGGTCCAGCTTGCCCCTCCATCTTGTTACATTTTGTTAATTTGTTCTTTTTGTCATTAACAGTCAGCACGTCAGCCCTACTGTAAAACTCTGTATAACTCCGCTAACCATGTGATTACATGGTGCAGTTAACCGTCTATTTTTATGCTTTAGTTCCACCAGGCTATTACTGACTACCAGTACAATACGCCGTCAGTGTATCATGTCTTCTCATTAAGCTGAAGGCGGAGAGAGCCAGGAGCTATTAAAGTTTCTTCTTTAATTACGTTGGGCTGCACGACTGCATCTGATGGAAGAACAATTCATGTGTTATTGAAAAAAACTTCTCTCGATGATCAATGTTGAATGTAGAATTATTATACACAGAATAATATACACATTTGAATATGGAAAACTAGACTCTAAAGGTTGTTGCTATACGCTAACTCCTGTGGAAAACATCAGTGTGGTAGTCAAGACCACCTAAGCAGAGATCAAGTCGTGACCAAGACCAGAGTGTATTGACCACTGTCCTCCATCTGAAGATGTACCTGAAAGGGGATTTTTCATTAAAACATGTAATATTATGGGGGTATTATTATAGGGTTTTGTAGTTTCTGCTCTATACTTTGCACCAAATTATTTTGAAAGACTTGTAACTGAAGGTATTTTTAGCAGGGAATTACTGTACTTACCTATTATTTTACTTGTGCTGCAGCTGCAAGATAAAGCAAAGAACAGCAGGCGTCTAACTTTCTCCATGAAAGAGTCTCAGGCTGCAGCGGAGCGGCGGAGCGAGAGATGGTGCAGTGCTGTTTCTGTAGTCTCTGTGGTGCTTAACACCATTACTGTGCCCCTGTCACCACAGCAACCGGCCTGGCTACATCCTCAGAAATGCTTTTGTTTAGGCATTTATTGACTATGTGTGTGTGAGTGTGTGTTGTTGTTGTTGTTGTTGAGGATGTGTTGATGTGAATGTATATATTTATTAACACAGTCCTCCATCATCATCACCCTTGTCCCTCTTCCTCTGGTCCCACTGTGCTTTCAGTGTTCCCCAGGACACGGCCACATGACGCCTGGAGGTTTAATAACGCTAAAAGGTCCACCGCCCCCACACTTCTCTCCTCTCTTCCTCGGTATCCTCGCTCATTACTGAAATTATCAGCTCCGTTTTAATAGCTTACCTGCCTATGAGTCACGCTGATCCTGAGAAACAACAGTGTGAGTATTAAACACATTTTACTGTAAAAAAAACCAATACATATACAATTTCACTGCAAAAACATAGGAGTTATTTGTGAAAATTAGCAATTACACATTGGAAAGTTCTTGCATTATAAATATACTTTAGTCAGGAGTTTTATATATTGAGGAAATACAGGTTGAATCTATAATGTATCAACAGAAACTCAGAGACTGCACAAATGTATCTCTCAGAGATGTATCATTTCTCAGCCTTGAATAATAAATGTTAAAGTAGGTTTTGAATCGGTGCAGTTGAGAGCACTGCATTATATACTCTGTGTTGTGTAAGCATTATGTACAGCTCGAAAAGCTACTGTATGTTTTATGTCACAGTAATACCACACTACCATCCACACCAGCAATAGTGGAAGGTACAGAAGTACATCTACTCAAGTCTCTCTTTATACTGCGCCACCTGACTTCCTGAGCTGATGGGTTTACATTGGAGTTACTTGAAATCCTGCTGCGTCTCATACAGATGCTAAAGGGTGCCTTGTGTGTCAGTAGATGCACCCAAAGCGTCGTTTTTTGATGACCTGGGAAATATACCGAAGAGTATTTTAAAGTACTTAGTAATAAGAGTATTGTAAAAAATGCATTTGAGTCGGAACTCAAATCATAATCCTCTTCCAAAGGATTGAGACCGGGCTGGTATTTAAGTACATTTTTAAGGTACTTGAGTATTGCCATTTTCTGCTACTTGCAGTAATACTTCTATTCCATGACATCTTGGTGTGAAATATTGTACTTTTACTTCAGATTTTATAAACATATGATGAACTTCTAAAACAGACTTTTTTTCTGCATGATAATTTAAGTACATTTTGCTGATAAAACATCTGTACAAATACTTAAATAGCATTTTGAACTTTTAGTATTTTCACACTGTGGTATTAGTGTAGTAGGAGTAGTGTTAAGATGCCTTTAGTATGTGTAAACAATCACAACATCCTGATAAAAGTAAAATGGCAGCCTTTCACAGTAATCACCACCCATTTGTTGAACACAGCACAGCCAAAATCTCTGTTTGCATAATAATTTATTCACATATTTTTTTCACATACTTTATATTATTATTGCTGCAGTTCTGGAGCCTTTCAGGTATTCACTTTCAATATTCCCGCCAATGGGATTCTATGTTCATATCTCTTTATAGTTTTCATCTTCATGCATGCTGAGTATTACATTTCACAGGAGCAGGATGCAAATAAATAAAACAGTCTCTTTTTTAAGTTACATGTCATAATCTATCCATTCTATTAATGCTTCGATAACATGCCTTTTTCAAAGTCCATGGGGGGAGCGGGGGGAGGGGGGGGGCTTTTCGGAACATATAGTCTCCATTAGAGGACAAAGGCTTAACAAAGGGCACATTAATAATATATATTGTTAAAGCTGGCAATCTATGATTAATCTTCATTACCACCCAAACCCATTTTCCTCATCCCAGTGAAGGCCGACTACATCGCATCGGGAAAAAGGCTAAGTGTAATTCTTACATTTTATCTATGTACACATATTTTGAAATATGGCACCAAATCAGCTTGTGAAAAAAAGCTTGAGGTTACACGTTAAAATATTTGTGACTACAATACTTTCTCCTGTTCAAATGAAAAAACTCTTTATATAACTCCATTCAGCCCCTCAGACAGCGATCACACTTAATGAGCCAAAGTGGAAACACTGGCACACTTTTCTTGACTGTTCTCAGTTGGTTCTGGGAGTAAACAGTGTGCCTTGCAGGCATTGAGAGCATTGTGGTGCGTGACACAGTGTTGAAAAGTTAATCTAACTCATCTTCAATGCACCATGTGTCTCACTTAGAACAAAAGCTCCCAGGCAATGTCAGTCTGCCGTATGATTGGCACCTAAGAATATGAACAAGAGTGGCGTATTTTAAGAAAAAAGCCTGGTACACCGACAACAAATACTGTGTTCCAGTTCCTGCTGAAAGCTTTAGTGCTGTTGTTTTTTGTGTTTCACTCCTTGGGAATTTCTTATAACATGATTAAAAAGGTGCTTGTTTGTCCATCGAGTGACTTTACTCGAAGATCATGGACAGTGACAAATAACATCATCTTTCTCTCAGAAGCTCAGATTAGCTTAGCATTGAATTTTCTGACTTAAGTCAGACATTCATTGGCTTTTTTTCCCCCACTCACATGCGTATGCATGCACACGCTTAAGCTTTTTGCATATGCACACATAATTGGAAAATTAGGGGATTATTTCTGACCTACAGCAAAGGCAAATAATGAAGAAAATGACTCAACCTCAGACTATCTTTACAGTATTTTAATATTATTAGTAATTGCTCATTTTTGTCTGTTGGGTTCTTTGAAGGCACCTAGTGTCACCTAGGCATCATGTAAGTTTTTTGTGTAACCTTTGTTACAGCAAGACAGTAGCCTTGTTAGGAGGGTGGTCCTGCCCTCATGAAGTGTCAAAGACTCTACTTGGTGAATTGATGCTTTGTCACGACTGCACAGAGTCCGTCTGTGCTCCTGAATAATAATGCAGTGATGATTTTTGTGCCCTAATGATCAGAGGTCCTGGGCCTAGGAAAAGCTCTTCTCCAAAATTTAAGAGGTCCTCGAGCCCCCAGGCAGAGGAGCCTCTGTCAGACGTAGGCTGACTCACTAGATTGGGTCCTGCCCAGGTTTGGGGTCTGGGACAGGTGTGAAACATCCTTCTTGCGGACTTCACAGATGGACTTCCTTCGGGCCTGCACCCCTCGCATGGCCGTCTTTATCTTCCTCCAGCCAAGGTGGTTAAGCTCAGCCAGGTTGAGCAGCACACAAATGCCGCTCACTGCAAACATAAAGACCAGAAACACGGTCTTTTCCGTGGGACGAGACACGTAACACTCCACCTCCTTCACGCATGGGTAGCGATCACACTCAAACATCCCTGGCACATTGAAACCGTACAGGAAGTACTGGCCAGCCAGGAAGCCGATCTCCAGTGCGTTGCGGAACACCACCTGGATGACATAGAAACGGGAGATGCCTTCCTGCCGTCGCACTTTAGCACTCTTGTGTGTTTGAGGGAGCCCCCGGGGTCCATTGGGGATCTCCTTGACCTCCAGGCAGTCATGATCCTCCTTACTGCTGTCGGGGTGCAACAGGATGCCGTTGATGTTGCGAGAGTGAAGCTTGCGAGCGTGATGGTCATGATGGCGGCCGTGGTGACCGTGACCGTGGTGATCCATGTAAGGATGCAGGAGGGAGTAGCTTCTGTCACGCGCTTTAGCAGACTGGTGAACAGAATATGTGATGAAGCACAGGCTCGGCGTGCACACCAGGATGATCTGAAAGACCCAGTAGCGGATGTGCGAGATGGGGAAGGCCTTGTCATAACAAGCCTGGTTGCAGCCGGGCTGCATGGTGTTACAGATGAACATGATTTGCTCGTCCTCGTACACCTTCTCCCCCACTATGCCTACTATTAGGATACGGAAAATCACCACCACTGTCAGCAGGATCCTGCAGAGAGACAGAAGGAGAAGGAAAGGGCAGGATGGGGAGGGGTTGAAAGGGAGACAGGCAATATCAGTTAGTGAGGAACAAATGCACAGGCTCAGGAAATATCTGGGTATGATTCTGATCATTTCAAATTGACTGCAGGTCTTGGTTTAACATAATGTGAATGCTGATTGGATGCTGCTTTGTTGGTGTTGTACGCTAAAACAATTTCAGGGCAACAGAATGAAAACAGTTTTCAGGCAAGCTGTCGGACCGAACTATGTGCCTTTTGTGTGTGCTCATGGGTATGTTCATGCATGAATGTGTGTGTGTGTGTGTGTGTGTGTGTGTGTGTGTGTGTGTGTGTGTGTGTGTGTGTGTGTGTGTGCTTGTGTTATCTCACAGCTGCCGTGACAAACAACACTGTAGGATGGTAGAGGTGAACTCTAGACAGCGTGCACACATGAGCTGACTAATCATAAGAGACTGAAACAGGAGGGGTCGTCAGAAGGTAAAGGTGATGTCACACTCATCTTCGCTGCTGAGCTGAAATGGAACAGCACGCACATGGGCACCAGTATGAGTGATTGCACATATATGCTTAAACAGGGATTGCCGTTCACCAATCCATGGAAATAAGGACTAGTGCCGTAAAATGAATTGTTAGTATTTGTCCGATATTATTTCCTGCTGTCATCGCAAATCTCGTCATCGTTGCAAAGCTATTTAACACATTTTAACGACCTCTTTTTGACATCTCTTCGAGGCATCTCCTGTTTCCAGTGACATGGTAAGAGTGCTGATTATTAGCAGCATAGTGCTGAAACATACAGGTGGCATCTTCTTAAAAACTGGTGGGGACTTCCCGATGAGGCTCATTAGTGCATTTCTGCAGATAGAGAGAGCTGTGTCCAGGGGCTGGAGGATCTAGAGAGCAGTGCGGCTGCTTTTCAAGGCCTCTGAGAGACCGGTGTGCTGTACTGTTATCTTCTGGTGTCGATCCAGCAGGAGCACTGCGGAGGAGGACTGGGGCTTTAGTGCTGCACTGTCAGCTCTTTCTAATGAGCGAGGAAAGCCTGCACATCATGGGGCTCCCTGGTATTTATGCCACAATGCAGTGGATGTGCACGCTCCCTGCGTGGCGGAGCCAATTACTTAGAACACACTTGTTTCCAAGCACAAGAGGGGCCACCCAAGGCAACAGCAGGGACAGAGATAGATGGGAGTTGGCCCCAGGTGGGTTAGAACAACTGGGGTTTAATGGCGGCTATAGCACGTATGACATTGGCCTTTAATTCAAGTGATGTAACATAAAACAATTCCTGTGCATTTTTAGGTACATCAAAAGTTGGTCTTTGTCAAATGAGACTCCATAGTCATTTAATCACTATGGAGTCTCATTTAATTAGGCCTCAAACATTCCCACACCCGCTTTCCATGGCCAGTTACCACAGCAACCAGCGACTTTGTGAAAGGTAAGGAGTTAAAAGGGTTGTATAGACACAAAAGGTATGATGGAGAAAAATGAATAAATTGTGAGAAAAAAATGTATTTTTTTCTTGGGGAGGGAAAAAAATAAACGTCTTCCAGTGGTTCAGGGGTATAGCAGAGGAATAAGTGATGGCGTGAAACAGACCTAAAATAGAACAGGACTGCTGCAGGACTGTTCCTGCTCCACCTGCGAGAGCGTGCCTGTGTGTGGGTTTTTTGGGTGTGTGTGTGTGTGTGTGTGTGTGTGTGCGTGTGTGTGTGTGGGCAAGACAGACATGAGGACACAGAGACAAAGAAGTAGAGTCAGCCATGTGTGTGACTTGTGCAAAATGGCAAACATGTTCGGTCGTCAGTGCTCGGAGCAGCTGTGAGCATATATACGCTACACTGACTTTCAGTATGCTCGGAAATACAACGGAATAAAGCTGCTCTGCACCTTTGGTCTTTTCAGAAGTGAAATGCGGGTGGTGTATGTGATTTACATTCAGTCACTTTGTGATCCTCCGCTGTGAGCCGATGTATCTGCCTCCACTGCGGGTTTGACAGCAGTAGATTTGACCAAAGCGCTGATATTGATGGTGCTCTGCACCACAAGGAGTCCTTTGACGCATTCTGCTCAATGAGATAGAAATCTGTGACCGACACTGCTCATTTAGATGCAAATATTTGTTTAGGAAATACGACTCATGTTCAGTGTCAGTGTGAGAATATGCGGCTCTGGATGCTGATTTAAAACGATATAACAGGATAGAAGGCAGCTTGCAGACCGTCTGCATTCACTGTCTGTTTCTATTCGAGGTCTGCTTCTTCTCATGCCAGTGGTAATTACTACATCATAATAGCATTAACTAAATGTCACTAAGTCTGCCTGCTGTCCACATCTCTGTATAGTGACACAAGCTCACAGACTGGACAGGTCTCTCGTGGTAAAAAAATCAACAAATGTGTCTCAAATACAAATTCAGACTGAGCATTTTTTATTTACTGATGTTGTAATGGAACTTCTGTAGATGATATGTTGTTATATGTTCTCACTCATTAGCAGTGGATACTGTCTCCTCTATCCTTATATGTACACAACACTGTACTGTATCTGAGGCTTGCTCCGAGTCCAGGTCCATTGAGGTTCATTTTTGCCGACTTTTTATGTATACATTCCTGTTGTTGTTTAGTGTCTTTTAACTGTCTTTAACTACATGCATGGCATCCTCTTTCACAGCACGTACTCAGCCAGGAACCAGAAATACCAGAAAAATGACACATTTAAAGGTCCTAAGAGTATTGTTTCTCTAATCATGCACACCAATACAGCAGAAAAAACAAACTTAAGACATGAAACTATGATGCAGTCTATTTACAAGTAAAGCAATTTTATCGTTTTGGTGTCTTTTCATTGAAAGTCTAAAAGCAGCACATCAGCACTTTCAACTGGTTTTCCCTGTTTGGCGCTACACATATAAATACAGTTCAGTTACTATAAATAAAACATGCTCTGTGTACACACCAGTGTTGGACACAACCTACTGATGTGTGGCGTTCTAATTGAGGGCCGGTGAACCTGTGTCTTCCCAATGAATGAGACAGTCTGCAGGAGTCATTGTGAAATTAAACATAAACCAAAAGTAACAACGCATCTGGATGCCCCTCATCAACTTGTTAAGATGAAAATGTTCAAGTTTATTACAGGAAGTTGCCTTCAAAGGTGGAGACATTCTTCACTGAATACCAGTGGAGAGACGTTTTACCTCATCGCATGGACAACTGGCACCATCGTAATTATAAATACATAACTCCTAATTCTCTATGCAACCATGTGTAAATAATTGTGACAGTGGGGATTAACAACAAGCTGTTCATGGCGGGCCCCCCGTTGCATCCCCCTTCCATAGGTTTATTTCACGCCATTTGACCACTGCAGCTTTATTCACCTTAACAGTCAGGATTTTCAGACGTACTTATGGACTTTCCTGAGATAGAAAACTTTTCTAAAGTACTGTACTGCAGATATTGCGTCTATAATTGTGTGTTGGGCAGATTTATGTCGTTAAAATGTCCAAGACATTGCAAGTATTGAGTGTTGTGCTGTGTGTGTTTGCAAGCTTGTGTGTGTGTGTGTTCGTGTCTGCATGTGTGTGTGTGTGTGTGTGTGTACACTTCTGCTGGATAACAGGATAATCAGCACGGGGCAGATTGCTGCATTAGCAGAAAATAGTGGACGAAGGTTATCTGCAAACATCAGTGTTTTAAGTGCTGCAACGAGCCAATACTGTACGTTAGGGCAGATTGGGACTGGACAGCCTGGACCTGCAGAATATTCAATACCCACCATAACGATGAAAAATATTTTGGAGTATCTCAAAGCCGAGGGAAGAATATCAAGATAAGGCTGAGTTGATTAAATACAGTGCATTCTCTATCTATCTCATGGTTCCTTTAACATTCATTTGTCACCACTTATCGCCTCATTTAGCCGCCCGCTCTCCAGAGGACCTCCTTTCAGACCAATCATTACATTTTTGGAGACTTTCTAAATCCCTGACACTGTACAAGCGATCTGATAAGGTTTGGAATAAAATGAATCGAGTCTGTATCCCTGGATTGGGCTCACATGTGAAAGTCTTTTTCAAATTTTCACAATTTCCTTGTCCTGCATCAGTGACAGCTGGTATTTTCATAAAGTGCAAAGATCAACAGAGCTCACAGACAATCTAACATCGACGTCTAGAGGGACGACGAGAGGAGGAAGTAAAGACAATGACAGTTTACATCTGTTGTGTAAACTGATGTGTGCAGGCAGCTGATTGACCTGTGAGATTGCAGTGTAATAGTAGCTGCTCTTCTGCTGGTGTGTCGGCTGGACATGCAGGCACTGTCTCTCCCAGAGGCTTTTACACACACACACACACACACACACACACACACACACACACACGTTCATTCATACAGCAGCTGCTGTCCTCAGCCTCAAGGGACAATAATTGCCTCGAGCACAACATCAGATGCATTGGGAAACACACACACACACACACATATATATTGTGAATATAAATTAGCCTTTAAAGTATATGAGTCAACAAACATATTAAGTATATATTTGCACATATAGGTACACCTACAGTGAGCAGTCCTCTGAAGGACTGGCTAAGTGCAGTGTTATCTGTAGAGAGAGTAAAAATACTCTTCCCGCCCGTATGCTCTCAATAATAAGCTCCACTGATTGCTGATGGCAGCACATAATTAATAAAGACCTCACCAGGCATAGAAATTAGGCAGCTTAATTATCGGAGTGCAGACATTTCTTCCCACCCGCTCCTCATCTACTGTTCCTCTCTCAAACTGTTTTAATAGTTGCCCACACGTATCAGGCAGACTTGCATGACCGCCTGAGGTGCCACTGGGAGCCGGCGTGACGAATACATTAATATGAAGCTAAACTTGTGTGGTGGTTCACTTACTTCTGTCATCTTATCTAAATACTTATCAGCGATAATTTTACTGAGAGTGTGATACATAAATGGTTTAAAAATACT